TCTGATCAAAAGAAATGTTTTTTTCCTTTAACATTTTTCTGGTAATATAAAGTAACCAAGTTATAGCCCTTTAGAAGTTTGAGTACCGCCCTGTCTCAATAATAATATTATGTGCTCGTGTTTGGCGACAACGGATATAATCCGCATCGGTTCATCGCATCGGAAACAAAAAAGCGAAAGACTTTGAAACGCTTATCACGATGTTTTTAGTTGGATTCAGTCGGTAACGCGTGAGTGAATAGTGGTGTTTGTTGCGTGGCTCAAACGAAATAAAAAATGGCACATGTTGTACAAAGGGCTCGTGAATCAGGTGACTTAAGAACTTACAGGGGAGGGCATGCCGGATGCCGGTGCTCCAAGACCGCACGATCAAATACAGGTCCGCGCTGAAATACTTGTCGGGAGGATACTTTATAAAACAAGGTACATTTTTTTTATTTTTACACACATACTTTGGTTTATCTTCCTTCTACAATCACTATCTGAAAATTAATGACTCAACTTCAAAGTCCTCCCTGTCCCACCCTGTATAAAAGTTCCATCATTCGATAAAATGTCCACATCCAAACAGTCAGAGTGATGACCTTCCACGAAAAAACTCCAAACAAATTAGTTGTTATTCCTGTGGCAAAATAGGCCATTTGTCTCGAGAGTGTAAAAGTAAGGCATTTCCAATTCACAGCAACAAAGATGCAAAAACGTTCTGTCGTTACTGCAAAAACCGAGCCATGAAATATCTTACTGTTTTCGTCGTCAAAACAAACGTGCTCGAGACAGTGGCGGCGAAACCAGTGTAGATAAGAAATTCAAAGGGGAACAACTTTTCCTTAATTCTCATGCTTCTGAGCTCGGTATATGTTTAAAGACGTTGCCAATTGTAATATCAGGTTATCGTACAAATTGTTTAGTAGATACTGGTTCGACATGTTCATTAATTAGTGAAACGCTGGTTGAAAAATTGAACCTTGATAAAATACGGCGTATCACAGCGTTACAGTGGTTTGGGGGTACTACTATTAATTCTTATTTTGTTACAAATGCCTTAGTGGAAATTTCTGATGCAAAATTGAAACTTGATTTTGTCGTAGTACCACAAAATCATTCTAAGTATGATGTTGTTATAGGTGAAAACGTCTATGAAAATAACTTTAATCAAGGATAAAAACGGGCAACAAATTTTTTGTGAACCTATACCCATCAATACCACCTATGATAATCTAGGCCCAGAAGTAGTTACCGATTTGGACTTTCATGATAAAGTAAGGCTACTTGAATCACTTGAAGACTATTCTCAGCTGTTAACTACCTCCGGCAAGCTATTCCGTGTCGTAAACACTGGGGAGTTAGTTATTACTCTAACTGAAAACAAAACTATTTATCATCACCCCTACCATATGTCGAAATATGAACGCCAAAATATACGTGAAATCGTTGCTGATCTTCTTGAAAATAAAATTATTCGTGAGAGCAACTCTTCTTTTGCAAGTCCCATAATCTTGACAAAAAAAGGGTGGTGGCACTCGTCTTTGCGTAGATTAACGCTCTCTTAATAAGATTACTGTTAAAGATCGCTACCCTCTTCGACACATAGATGAACAGTTGGACCGATTGGGTAAAAATGTATATTTCACATCACTTGATATGGCTTCGGGATTCCACCAGATACCAATTCACCCTGAATCAATTTCAAAAACTGCCTTTGTGACACCGGGCGGCCAATATGAGTACCTGAGGATGCCATTTGGTCTGGCTAATGCACCCGCCGTCTTCCAACGGGCCATTAATAAAGCTCCACGTAAACTTAAATATGATATCGCTATTGTTTACATGGACGACAACGTTATAACGTCTATTACAGTCGCCGAAGGGATGCTCAGATTAAAATTAGTTTTTGATGCATTGCTTGAAGCAGGATTCTCTATAAATCTCAAGAAATGTCGTTTTTTCATGAAGAGTATCACCTATCTAGGGCGAGTAATCTCAGCTGATGGTATCCAACCTGACCCTAATAAAGCTAAAGCAGTCAAAGAAAGTTTAGCCCCCACTAATGTGAAGCAGGTTCGCCAATTTATTGGATTGGCCAGTTATTTCCGAAGATTTATCCCTGGTTTTTCTTCTAGAGTAGCCTGCATAACTAATCTAACCAGGAATAATGTTGACTTTGCTTGGACGTCAGAATGTGAACAGGCAAGGCGATACATTATTGATGTCCTAACAGAAAAACCTCTATTGTCCATATTTGATCCTTCTTTGGAAACACAGTTGCACACAGACGCCAGCAGTATCGGTTTTGGCGGCATTTTGTTACAGAAACATGGGAATACTTTCCGCCCAGTTGAATCAGCAGTATTTTCATCGTGTCATCGAATGAAATGAAAGACTATTGAGCAGTTACTGACGGAGCAGTCCGAGTAATGCTCTTCTTTTGCTTATTTCAGCAACTAAGAGCGAAATAGACGAGCAAGCTAAATCTCGACTATCAACCTTTGGAAGATGATGTTCAATAATAATCATGGCTTATAAGTAAATACATGCTGAGTAGGCATATATACCATAGTCTTAGTGTTCGCAATTTTGTAAATAGTTATCCATGTACTCCTGTAACTAGTTATCCATGTATTTTTGTAATTAGTTATCCAGGTATTTTCGTAATTTTGTAACCAATTATTCATGTACCTTCTAAATATCTTTATCGTTAGATAATAAAACTGTTTACTGTTAATTTGCCCAGAATTATTATTGTCATGAGCGGAATGATTTTAGTTTGGCCGTGTTAGATTCTATTGTAAATATCTAACTTGGCTCTCCCTGTAACACTGTTTGGTCGCTCACGCATATGCGCCCAAGAACGGCGCGGGAGAAGACGTACTGCCGCGCCGGGCAGACACTGCCTGACATTGACCGTGAGTGGTCGTAAATGGTAAAAATCTAACAATATAAACTGGTGGACAGTTGCTTTGTAATATGGAAAATCAAATCTCGATATTTTCGGACGAAAGGAGATATCTAGTTGCGGTACTCGGGAGATTCTTGACCAACTCTTTGAGAACACGTACAGGTTTCGACAAGTATATTTCTTATGTATCCACTTGAGCAAAGGAGGTCATGTTTTTTTTAGCAAAGTTTGGGGCTATGTCAGATTCTCAATCTTTGATTCTGGCAATTTTTCTATGCACCTTTTTGATCTTTGGACTATCCTAAAAAAGTGATTTCTGAAATTTTATAACTCATATTATCGAATTTTTTACTTCCCGCAATAAATGTCTTTCGGCTCTATCTCGTATTTTTTTTATTACCATCTCCATGCAAATAGGACGTTTCTCCGCTAAGTAACAATTATATTGACTGTAAACTTGACAGTATAATTTTATTTTCTCAAAAATGCCTCGTATTTTCCAAAATGAACGAGAAAACTGTATAAGATTATTGGGAGAAGGTCGTTTAGTGAATGATGTAGCTTTAATTTATGTCGAGCGGTCCTCAATATATCGTTTAAGGCGTAGATATCAGCATACCGGGGAAACGTCCTACTTGCATGCAGGAGGTAATTCCAAATAATACGAGGTCGGGCGAAGGAGGACCGTTTCATCCAGAACCTTAAATGTAAACTTACAACGGCACAGTAGAATAATAGCATCCAATCGTACAGTAAAAAGAACTTCAAATTTTAATTTGTTAGGGTATGTAAATGTCATAAAAAAATTGCTGGTAGCATTTCTCCCAGAAGAAGGCGTCGTGCCAAGTATACCCGACTCTTGAACAATCATAAAATCGCCAGGTACCAATGGACACAGGAGCGGGTAAATTGGCATCACCAGTGACAAGATTGCATGTTTTCCGATGAAACAAGCTTGAACCTATACCAGTCTGATCGTAGGGTCCTTGTTTTAAGGCTAGCTGGGGAACGATATGATAAAGAAAGGATGACTCCACAAGAGGCGTTTGGTTAAGGTGGCATTGCTGTTTGGTCTGGGGTTATGCACAATAGTAAAGCCGAACTTTTTATTTCAAACAAGACGGTCAGTGCTGAAGTTCATAGGGAGAACATTTGAAACACTATTTTGTACCCTTTTTGTTTTGGGGAAGATTTTGTCTTCATCGATGATAACGGTTATAATCTGTTTGGCCGAAAATAATGTTACATTATTGCCACTGCCAACAGAGTCTCCAGACCCAGACATGATTTTGCATGTGGTGTCTCGGCTAAAATTTTTAGTTCGGTCAAGGCAAAGTGCTCCTCAAATAATGGAAGAGATGTCTGTCTGATGCCATTCAGGAAGAGTGGGAAAATGTATCCCGATAATTTATTAATAACCTTCTGGAAAGTATGTCACGAAGATGCCAGGTTGTGATCGATGTTCGGGGTGGCCCTAGAAGGTATTGATAATATTGTGTGTAATGTTGCTATTTTGTAAAAAGTTTGTCTTTGTTATGAAAAAATAATTTATATATAAAAGTAAACTGTGTGTGTTTTCTAAAATTCTGCATATCGTTAATGTTGACCAATAAACTCTTTGATGCTGTTTAAAAATTTAATAGAGCCTATTGCCTATTGGAAAGTATCTACAATGAAGACGCGTACGCCAATGCCAAAACTCCAGATAAAAGATTAATAACAGTGTTGGCTAGCATCATAGCATTTTGAAAAATAAAAATTTTCATGTCATTAGCACTTCTTACCAAACCAAAAAAATCTTTTGATGTTACGCCACTGGAATTCACCGCCGGATATGTTCATTAAGCTATTGCATAGTAAAATTTATAAATTCAGTTCAAATTACATAATGTCAAAGTTTTTAAAGAGTTGGTCAAGATCCTCCCGAATACCGCATTTCGATACCTCTTTCCGTTCAGAAAATATCGAGAGACGAATTTGGGTAAAATTTTCCATGTTGCAAAGCAACTGTCCACCAGTTTATTTTAACTACGTAATGATAGAACAGCTTGAAAGTAAAATTTTCTACGGTAAAGGTTGATTAAGACTCAAGGTACATTTCCTATGGAAGTTTATTTAAATAAAAATATCAAATAAAATTTGTCATGTACAAAAAAGTAGGTACATAAACTTGCGAATTCCTTACAGTAAAAACCGATAAAACTAAATCACTAGAAAATCACCCAAATGGATAAATGAGTGAACGATGAAACATGACACACAGAAAAATCAAAATTACCATTGAATCTTATGCTTTAATGGTGCGAGCTTCATAAGAATATCTTTTTAAATTACATTTACTTCCCAAATAATCCACAAGTGCAAACACATAATCTTAATCTTATTAATACACTGCTGTCAAGATCTTTTTATTACATTTAAGTTATTAATTGGCACCAACACTCTACCCATTCACTCATAAAATTTGCTCGTGAACTATATACATAACTACAACACAAAAACTAGTGAGCCTGGTAATAATGATAGTCCTTTAAATATTACATCTACATCAAGAAGGCTGATTCTTCTAAAACATCAAATATAAGATAATTTTCATCCAGTCAGGATAGATTTGTGCAACTAAAAAGGAGGTAAATATTATACTTTAGGATCAAAGTGGATGCTACTGTCATGTCTACTGACTTTATTAAAGACAAATTGAAATTTTGTCGAACTACAATCCAAAATTCTTAACAAAAACAACAATTTCAGCATTCTTGGTGTAATGAGATCAGTAGAGAGGTCACATATTCTCAATAAATAACTATGACTCGGATACAGTCATCACTGATCATATGACGTCAATCTACATGAAATAAAAGTTTACCTCTCTAGTGGCCAAATATGGCAACGTGGTATATTACGCAGTGCATTGTCAAAACGACGTGAATCGATGATCTTGATATATACAGAGAAGAGCAAGTTGTATACGTCAAGGTACAAAATTAATCTCTAGTCCGTTGACAAGATTTGAATTGATGGATGCGTCATCTCCTTTATACACACGGACCATGCTTACATCATCGGTAGCTAACAACAAAACTGTGCTATTATATGTGTTAAGACCACTTTGCGCTAAGAAATTGCGCAACATTAGTTCATTTACATCGTGCTTGGAGCTGAGCTAGTGATCACGGTGTAAACATGGTAATTGGTATTGCTGGACCTTGACGCAGTTCATCTTACTCTATTTTTACATAAAATCACACGATACACATTAGCGCATTCATACGACATCTTGCTCGCATTGGATGCTTAAACTAGAAACCTGTAATTTGACCTAGACTGTAGTGACTAACTACAAAACATTGCAGACCGTACGTTGTAGGATTCGCACCTACAACGACTGGCCTATAACTAATAGGAATACTGGGTCATCTTTGTAAGGGTACATTTGTAGGGTCTTTCTTTTAAAGATATTCAATACAACACCGCGTAGCGTATAAAAGTTTCTATAGGTAAACTGGCATCTGGAACCCATAGAGAGAGATACATAATTGGACCTTCAGAAACTAAGTTGCAGTATTTTGCATAGTATCCTGCTGAAAGACTAATCATATTAGACGAAAATACCTGTGGTTTTCGAAATAATTGTTTTATTGATGCAAGTTGTACAAGGGAGTATTTAAATCATGGACGCGTGAAATGGGTACACCAACTTTTGTATGAGAACTTTTTATTCGACAACAAAAAATGAGAAAAGTGTTTTTCGGGATTCAATCAAAAGTGTTGACAGGAAAGAAAAAACCCTTCAAATAAGATTTTTCGGTATTTATGAGACGCACCGCATGAAACGACATGTAAAAAGATCCGACTAATAGTAGAAAAGTTATGGCCGAACACCGAAGCAAGATGCAGGTTTTAGCACTTGTTGGTAATGCGATGATAGTTTCACGCAGATACTTGAAATTCCTCAAATTGGTGGGCTTCATACTTCTAAATAACGATAACAAAATTGGAGTCGATCGGTGGAGTAGTGTTTGAAAATTTCTAATTTCGTTTTTTGCATAAAAATAACAATTATCTCTCGGAATGGTTTGTGACTCATGTCGGCAAGGTAAGCTCGTATATTTCGCTATAAAATGCCCTCTGAATGAACCCTGCATATTGCTCAGTAAACTAGTAGTGATGGCCGGAAGGCAGGTGTTTTGGGATAAACAATTAGAAATTCTTCAAAACCACTTAACCAATCGACTCCAATTTTGATGTAGTTATTTATTAGTATGAAGCCTACAGATTTGAAAAATTTCAAGTGCCTAAACCTGCATTTTGCCTCGGTTTTTGCCCGTAACTTTTTTACTATTGGTCGGATCTTTTTACGTGTGTTCTCATTCTGTAGGTCTCATAAATACCCAATATTTGAAGAGTTTTTGGTTCCTGACACTTTCGATTGGGTCCCAAAAAACACGTTTTCTCGTTCTTTGTTGTCGAATAAAAAGTTTTTCCACAAAAATTTATGTACCCATTTTATGCGTCAATTTTTTAAAAAACCCCTTGAACAACTCGCATCAATATACCAGACTTTACAATTATTTCGGGGAAATTTGCTAATATGCTTGGAATTATATCCCGAATTACTGGCCTCAATATGGAATCTGTTTAAAATGACTGACTTGAGGTTGAACGATTTTGGTGGAGGTCAGAGCCGAAACCAAGCTCATAGTTCATTAGTCAGATAGTCCACAAACCTTTAACAATTTTTATGTATGCAACTTAGAATTGACTTCCCATGATTTTACGATTATGATTTAGGATTTTGGAATAGACCCACATTTCCATTTACCAGAATGGGGATGATGGGAAATGACGCTTCCAGATACCTACTTACACAATTATGTTAACAAGAGAATAATATCGACAACTGTTCTATATTCTCTATAAAATCAACAGAAATGGACAAGTACAACTATGTTATTGAGGTTAAGATAGATGTATTGAATATCTTTTTACATTCAGAAAGAAAAAAATCTACAACGGCACATTTCTCCAAGTATAGAAACGTACCAAAACTATGATTAAGATTTTTTTAAGAATGAGTACCATGCGATGTTACAGTGGCAGTGGGTTGGAACGATAGGACATTACGATTATAGGATACCAAGTAAATCATTTTTCTATGTCACTTAGCTCAAGTAACTTGAAAACCGATCTCTTTAATCAGACAGTAGCATTACTCTTGCTAAGTCCCTTTAACGTTATCATAGACAACCTACTAAACTGGAAGAGAGTAGTACTTATGTTACGCCACTGCTTATTTATATTTGTGCATGCATCTCAGTGTACTCAAAGAGACACCGCCTTAACATCGGCGTACGCTGCTTCTCTTCCACTAACGTAGTTATTTCAATGAAAGGAGTTAAAATAATACGTAATTAGCACTGCGATTATGACAGTCTAAGAAATACTACAGAAAAACGAGTTACTTTTAGAATCCCATCGTACATGATAAGTATAATAGATTAGTATCAAGAGTAACGTCCTCAACTAAAGTCGTATATAAGCCCGCAATATAATACATATTCCAGAACAAATAGAATTGACTAGAATAAAAGGTGATGGCAAGATTATTTCTACATCTATGTATACACGTACATTCACAATATATGAACATTGAACATCGATCCCAGAGACAAAAGTGAAATGCCCATTTTATTCGATATCAGTTATTTGTTCCTTAATAATAATGATAATAATACTTGAAGTTTGGTTTCTGTTACCAGCTAAGATGCACATGATTAATATTTCAAGACTTACCACTCAATAAGTTTGATACCGCACAATTATTTTCGGATGTATTATAAATGACATTGTAGTTTAGTCACGTAAGGCTCAGAAAATCTATAGCAGAGTTCGTGCGTTCCTTACGGTTTCGAAAAACGATATTTTCAAGGCAAGGTAGCATTTTTCAAATGTGGAAATATACACTTTACTTCTAATAATTTCTTATAATTAAAGGGAGTATTAAAATTAGGTAGTTCACGAGCTTTTTGTGGTACTATTTTGTGCAATACTGTTTCTCTGCATTTCTTTGTGATAATCTCTGAGGAACTCACTTAAAGCACTTCAAGCTAACTTCAAACCCTTATTGTTTTTATCCTTGCTTGTCATTCTGTGAGGTATTCGCAATTTATGTATCTACTTAGTACAGCGTCTAGTAAAAATGTGCGACAGGAAACTTACTGAGTAAATGTTTTGTGTTAACAAAATCAAGAGTAAAACTTGTATGCCTGCGAGCAATCAGCGACTCATTTCCTTGATCTACTTAGAGCTCTGTTTGAACACTTCTGCATGCATATAGTTTGGAAAAACTAATCCATTCATCTACGGCAATATTTGTGAAAAAAAATTAACACCGAAGGAAGTATAGTACAGTAATATAAACAAGCTAAACTAACAACTCGTTCGTTTATTATCCAGGAGTTTTGGTTACGATTTCGTATCTTCGTCTTATCTCCTCTTTGGTATTCAGATTTCAGTATAAGTACTGAGTACGGTAGTATCTTGATTATAACTGGCTTATCTTAAAAATGAATAGATGGAGGTGAAATTATGTAAGGATGAGATTAATATGAAATTATGAAAAATATAGACTTTTGGACGAATTCTTTGAAATAAGATTTTGACTAATTTTGTGAAAAATGAGTTTCATCCAGGGTTTACACCTCCACGTAAACTAACCTTAACCTAGGAACGTTCTAAAAGTTCTGGTTCAAATCAGTCATTTAAATCTAAAAAATAAGTAACAACAGTTCATCACTTACTACTATATTTATATAAACCGACAATTGAGCTCATAATTGACTTTGGTTGAGGCCTTGTCGCGGGTTGACTTTAGGTATACAAAACCAAGTATAACTTGAACACATTTTAGAATTGTATTCATTATTCTATTGCATCACTTAACTATCGAAGAGGAGCTAGGGAAGTAGAACTTGTAGGTTGTATAGATGTGTCATATTCCGACAACAAAAATCTGCGTAAGTTGGAAAGGTCAGAAAGAACAGACTCACCATAAGTGGAGCTCAAACCTGTCATCCACTAGATGCGTTTTTGTCCTACAATCTGACGAAAACTTATTTCTATCGTTCTACATGGCGTCATGAAATTTGAACAGCAAAGTTATAAATCTGACAAATATTTGACATTTGAGGGGAAGATTTAAAGTAAGATTGCAGGTCGGGATATCTCTTTCTAGCCCGTTTGATATACTTCATCACGGGTCACTGTTATCAGTCAGCTAGAGTACCTGCTTAAAGTTCTGAGAATTGTGCGCTCAAATTTCCCATTTCTGTCTTTTTTTTAGATTTCAGTCCCTCCCACGGGTGAAAAGTAATATGATAAAATAACATACAATTACATCGTGTGGTTATGCTTGGTTCTGTTAAAATACAGGGGGCTGAAAAGAAGTATCTAATTGTTAAATTATTAGATTAATACGATAATAGCAATTCTTAATCAAACATGACGCAAAAGTTTCGCAATGGTAAGATATTTGGGAATATTCAAGTGGCTTGGTATAAGTAAAATAGTAGATGTTCAGTAGGGTAGATACTCTATGCGAATACTACAATCACATCTCGCGAATATTAGCAAGAAACAAGGAAGTTAGTCACAGTTATATGATATTTCCAATGTGGGATTTCGAACATACATGCGGTCATGTAGCAACTGTCCAAGCAATTATTGTAAAGGATTGGATGTAGCAGTAGTTGACGTGGTATAATTACACACACGGGCAGCGTGTGACATACCTGTATATTACTTTTACTATGTCCCTTTAATATCCTCAAATACCTTGACGTACCGGAACTTTAAGAGCACCCTGCATGATCAGATCCATAAATCCGTAATTCCGATTCAGATTAGGCTAGGAATATAGTTCCCATTAGGAATCCTATTCGGAATCAGAGCTGTGAATATATGCGGCTGGTTTCAACCTGATTCTGCTACATTAACAAGTGACTCTTTTCTTCACCCACCCTGTATCGAGGACTAACGCGGCGTAGAAATGTGCCCAGTATATAAATTCTCTACGGTTATATATAATTTACGTCTGCAGTAGAACCAAAGGCAGTACGACTGCAGAGACAGTCTTGTGTAGGGGCACGGGCCTGAACCACGTCGAAAGCTTTGATGTGTGAGTGCGTTTTCAAGTGGGGGATGCTTTGACCATCTTTGGGGGTTGGTTGATGGAGAGGCGGTGTTGCCGCTTATTCCTCGTCGTGTTCGGGCTCCTCGCCGGGGCCGTACATGTCGGCGAGCTTGTCGAAACGCGGACCCCAGGCGCCTAGGTAGTCGTACTCCTGGACTTCGTCGTCAGTACCTGAAAAAAATAAAAAGTAGCATTGTGAATTTAGCCTTTTTAAATAATATGATATATGTAACTCAAATATAGTTAGTGGCATAAAAAGTAGAATACATACATGTGGGTTTTGATAATTAGCTGTTGAATTATATTTTACTATAAAACGTTAAAGTTTGACAGTCTGCATGTCTGCTATGTCGACAGGTGGACCTGTGAATTTTGTGTAAAGTGACATCATCTATGGAAACAAAAAACAAGTAAAGGTATAATAACAATCTGTCCATAAAATCAGACTTTTATCAAAAAACCAAGAAACTTAAATGCTTTTGTGTTATAATACATTACAGTTTATTTTAATATATAATATATTTTTTGAGATGTCTGAAAATGACGCCTTTGATGTTGAACATGCTATATGAAGTATATGAAGCTAACAATACAAGGAGCGTTTTTAAATATCAGTGAACAAATGCTTCATTCTAAGACTGATGGTGTGTACAACATCAAGAGGACATTTTTGAACATTTTCTGTACAAGTAAAAATATTTTAAATTTTAGTTATGTTTGCTTATTATACGCGTCATTTTCAGACATCTCAAGAAATTAATTTTATGTTATGATGATGATCAAAGCTACAACATAAAAGCATTGAATTATTGCTTTCTTGATGAAAGCCTGATTTTATAGATAGATTGTCAGTAATCCTTATTTTGTTTTTTGAAACAAATAGCGGTAACGTAGGAACCGTTTGAACAAACTGGTAGCAAACCCGTATTTGAAAAATGCTGATGAAAATGGGAATCCGATAGTGCAAAAATATACAGTGTGTTCAATTTAATTTTCTTGCGAATAAGTACATTTTGCGTTTTTGACCACCATTTAAAAAATGGACGAATAACGCTGAAACTGAGTGAAGTAGCACATTTTTGACATAAAGTTCATGACTTCACCTGTCAACATAACAGATATCCAGGCTGACAAACTTCGATTTTTTATACAGGATGATTCACAAACCGTGACCAAGAATGAAACATTATGCACAGGACTGCATTTTAATAGGGGTCTTCTATGTAACATTTTTACCTCGAGGGCTTCATTGAAAAGATACGGAGTGTTGAAGTTTAAAAATAAAAAACAAGTTTTTTAATATCTTCAAAACCGTCAACTGGAATGAATTAAAATTTGGTATGTGTATTTATACGTCGTACCTCCAATAACGAAAACTAGAGGTGACTTAGTATCATATGTAGGGGAAACCCAAACCATAACTCCTACAGTATGCTGCTTATGACGTTCAACTGAAAACTCTACATTACATATGTATTTCTCTGCGTTCTGACTCGTGCCGTCCATGACGCATTCTGTTGCACCACCAAAAACAATGTTATACAATTCATCATTCCAGCATTCTTGATCTTGGTTTCGTTTAGGAATGCATGTCGGATATGAGCGAGCCTGAAGGCGTTTCCATAAATCTGTCAGTTAAACGTGCATGATACTACAGTGCCGTACTTAGTAGAAGGCAATAAAGTGTGAAAATCGAAGTCAGCGAGAACTGAGTCCAGAATTCTCGATCATCTACGAATTAAATGAATAGTATTAAGCCGCGTACAGACCGAGATTTCAACGCTAGCCAAGGCTGTGCATGTGGTTACAGATTTGGAGGTGTTCGAATCCGTGTGTACGGCGCTAGGCAAACTAAACTGACGGTTTCCAAGGTAGCCGTTGGCGTACGATTGCGTTCGCTCCTTGATCGGTACATCAAAGGGAGGTTTGATTTGGTCTGGACAGAATTTGTTGCGCTTCTAGTATTTAGTCGTAGTATGGGTTCGATAAGAGGAGACTCGACACTCGACATTAGCACCGAACATAACCCAATGCGGTCCAACTCTAAGCTTGTAGGTGTAGACGAGCGCATTCCAATACCTTCCAACAGCTAACGCCAACATCACATCTGCTTGCATTCGTTTTTTTGGATTTTGGTCTGTACGCGGCTTTCCGACAGAACAAAAGTGAATGGATTTTGCCAATTTACATGACTATATAAAGTTATTTAAATGAAAGTTCCAATCATAATTATTACGGAGGTCTAAAATAAATGATATTCCGCCTTCAATTGTCGTAAATCAAAAAGCAGTAACATATGCCTTTATATTCTGCAAAAACAAATTTACTGGTTTTTCGTAGTTTTCGTAATCTATTTATACTATTTTTTCAAAGCTAAAACGCAACAATGCAGGGTTTTATTTGATTTTAATGTAATTTAATCATATTGAAAAATATATTTTTTTAACTCATTCTCCACGAGCTCTTCCTGCTGTGGAAAACAAAGTAACGAAGGACAATTAGCTTGGGATTATAAACCTCAAGAAGACATAAAATCATGATATATTAAAATGGTGAAATACATGACAATCGTGCATATACAGGGTGTTTCAGTTTATTGTTGCATAACTTTAAGATTCGATAGAACTTTTAAAATTAATGCATAACATGGGTCGAAAAATGCGTGGCTTCCGAAATACAGGGTGTTTAAATTTACTTTCTAAAATAGTTTTTTTGAAATATTTCGAACAATATTTGATGTATAACAGTGAAAATTGGTATACAAGGGTTCTTTGGTACGACAAAACGAACCATGGGCATAGTTTTACTGTAGCCGCTAGAGGGCGCTCTCTACTGTACCTGTAGTGTATTAAAATGACCGAAAATTTTTTCTTAGTGCAATTTTTTGCGTTTTGAATAAGAAAACGGATTCTTCGTACTTTCCAACATAAAAAAGCTCTCCTGTGAGTTTTCGTTATAGTTAGCCATTTTTGAGATATTTCGATTTGTAAGGTTCGATGCATTTTTAATTATTTATGGGAAAAATATTTTTTTTACATTTTAGATTTGGGCATTACAAGTAATTACAGCAATAATTCCTAACTCCAAATAAACCCAAAAAAACAGAATATGAATTTGTTTAATTTTCCAATATTATTTTTAACAAATTAAATTAATTATTTACAACTAAAATAAATGCTATTGGCTAGTTAGGACAAACATACAAAATCTAAAGTAGTTGCTCGAAATGTAAACCCAATTGTTCTATGCACAATTCACATCTAAGAATGATCGAACGTGGTATAGCATTATTCAAATAAGGCCTCATTTCATCACATGCATTCCTGATTCTGTCTATTAGCCTATCTCGTGTGACAACGGGAGTCTGGTACACTTTTTCTTTTAGAAATCCCCACACAAAGAAATCTAATGGATTTAGGTCAGGGGATCGTGGAGGCCAGGCGACTGGTCCTCCACGGACGATCCATCTTTCTGGATAATTTTCGTCCAGCCAGTTTCTAACTATTCTCGAATAATGAGCTGGACAACCATCAAGCTGGAACCAGGCCAATCTTCTTAAGTCTAACATAACATCATCCCACATATTTGCATGTTCAGCAAATTCCAAGAAGGTCGCAGCATTTAACCTTGCAGGCAAAAGGTAGGGTCCAAATAGTCGATTACGGTAGATACCAATCCACACGTTCACACTAAATTCATGCTGAAAATTTCTTTCGCGAACTGCATGCGGATTTCATGCGACCAAATATGTTTATTATGAAAATTTACCACTCCACGTCTAGTGAAGCATGACTCATCGGTCCATAAAACGTTACTTAAAAGCTCCCTATTATTATCAGTTCTATCAAGGATCCACTGACAAAATGTGATTCTTCGTTCTCCGCCCCCTGGATGTAGTCCTTGCACAGGTTGCAAATGGTAAGGACGTCTATGGTCATTTCTAAGAATACGGTGAACATGGCTTGCTGAAATTCCCAAGGCACCAGAAACTCTCCTAACACTTGTGGTCGGATCTCTATCAGACTCACGCAGCATCATACGGGTAAATCTAAACTATTTTAGAAAGTAAATTTAAACACCCTGTATTTCGGAAGCGACGCAGTTTTCGACCCATGTTTATATAGACTTTATGCATTCATTTTAAAAGTTCTATCGAATCTTAAAATTATGCAACAATAAACTGAAACACCCTGTATATTAGTTTTCGCTAATTTCAAGTGTAAGAAGCCATATTAGCAAGTATCCTTGAAACACGCCTTCCAACCTCTGTATGATAACATTGAGAACTGTGAACCACTAATCGTGTAGCGTCAAGAAGTCCGCTTGATGATTATGCAATTAGAACGTATAAAGAATTCTAAAAACTATAGCTCATTTCACGGTTTTTGGCGGGTCGTACTAAAACTACCGGCATCTCTTTTATACGTCCACCTTCCTCTCACATACGTATATAACCTGCCTCTGTGCGCCTCTGTGTAAGCTCAGACATAGTCTCGAAGACTAGGGATAGGTTAAGCCGTAGCTAAGGGTAGATATACAAGTAGGAATTCGATCGATCAAGATAACCTAAAACTTATGCAACAAACTTATGTAAGTTACATGAATAGTACATGATGATGATTTGACGTACCTGAAGCCAAGGAGCTGAGTGATCCAGCAGTACTGCCGCCGCCTTCGTAAGCGTAGTTCCTCAAATCGTCAAAAGGTGGCGCGTTCGGATCACAATCTGCCCGTTTCTTGTGCTCTTCGATGAAGATGCCAACGTTGGTCTCCTGACCAATCGCTAATACGGGAACTAGAAATATAGCTTTGTCAGTACTTACTATCACAAAACCAAACTAAGTGCAATATTCATTCATTGCATTTATTTCCTCTTTTCAAACCATGCTGTATACAGCTATTGAAAAAATAGAAAAACAATAGGAATAGTTGTACATTTAAACAAAGGTTTTGATCTGGTAGATTACAAGTTTCTTCTACAAAAACTGGAGCTATACGGAGTAAGGAGACTTCCACATATAAAGGTGTGAGAGATACCTGAGCAATACGTCTCTATATGTACAGATTGGTAACTGCAAATGCGACTCAACTACATACGACATTGGAGTGCCTCAGGACTCAATACTTACTACAGAATCTACGTCAATGAGTCAATGATTTCAACAGCAACAACTTTGTTATCTATGCAAATGATTCGTCTCTCTTAGTAGATGCTACCACAGCTCCAACACTTGCTTCATCCGCGACAAGTGAGTTTACAAAGGTTAATGAGTGGTTTACTGATAACGGCCTGGCATTGAACAGAGAAAACTCATTGTTTCTCCGTTTCATGTATACTTCAGAGCCAGATCACAGCTTATTGATTAAACCGCATAGAGGAACAATGATAATGTAGTTTCTTGGACCGCACCTAACTTAAAATAATTGTAGTTGTGATCATCACATGAATCACCTTTGAAAAAATCGCTCCAGTGGGGTATTGCAAAAATAGATTCCGGCTTATAGCTGATAGCCAGACTTATGATGCACTACTACCTCGCCTACTTTCAATCAGCTATAGCCTATGATTTAATATTATCTAGCAAACAGGGCTTTTTTTGTTCAAGATAAGGTTGAAAATTAATGGCGGAGGTATACAGAATGGCCAGTTGTAGGAAAATTTACAAAGAGATGAGAATTTTAACCCTAACATGTATGTATATTTATGAGTTATTGACAAATGTTAAAACAAATTTTACAAGCTGTCGGAGTCTGATAGTTGCAACTATAATATTGGGAATGATTCAACGCTGAAATTTCCTGCTCACAGGCTTGCCAAGGGGGAAATAGACCCGAACTACAGCCCTACAATAAGCTGCCCAAAAAAGGATTACAAAATTAAACACATATCTACACAAAAAATAAATCAAAAGAATGCTTCTCAAGAAAGCGCATTGTTTTATAAATAAATTTCTTTGTCAAACTAGTAATTCTTAGCTAAGTGTTTTGTGTATGCAGTTGTATATTGTCTATTATATTTTTTAATCATTTTATACGTCGCTCTGTAAATTGACGTGGACGCTTTCATATATTTATTTGTTCTTTTAGCTTCTATAATGTTTCTATTTTATATACAATATTTATCTTCTATTTTATGTGATTACATATTTGTACCATTCTTTTATTAGTTTACTGTTTTTTGACGGATTCTATCTCATCAAAAAATAACAACGTGAATAATATATACTAAGTGACATAAAAATCCGAACACTCAGTTTAAATGGTTTTATTTTAATAAAATTTGGTGAATGTATTTATCCTACTGTAAATAACAAGTGAAAAAATTTTCAGCCTTATCAGTTGGACATTCCGGTTTTTATACTGCTTTTTTTTAATTCACTAACACTCCAAAAATGAATATTTCAGCCGCAGTAAAGAATCAACGTTGGCGGATTTTGGTTCTTAACATCCTTTACGATCGGTTACGATGCCTAGAGTACGATTTCGTCAACTTAGTGAGTTTGATAGGGGCCGTATAGTGGGACTTCGAGAAGCTGGACTTTCTTTTCGGGCAATTCCAGTTAGAGTGCAAAGAAGTGTAGACACTGTGGTTAGGTGTTGTCAGGCATGGCTTCGAGAAGGCCGTACGCAAAGAGCAAGGGGCACTGGACGCCGCCGTAGAACAACAGACCGTGAGGATCGCCGCCTAAGATTATTGGCCTTAAGGGACCGTTTCTCCACTACCAGGTCCATTGCAAATGAATGGTTTGCAGAACACGGAAGGCCTATTGGCATGCGAAGTGTTTACCGACGAATGATAAGTTTTGGCTTGTTTTCATACCGGCCACACTGGGTCCTCCCTTTAACTCGAGAACACCGACGTAATCGCCTTGAGTGGTGCAGACAACGGTCACTCTGGGATCAGGAATGGAACAGTATTGTCTTTAGTGACGAGTCTCGATTTTGTTTAGGCATGCACGATGGTCGTGCCACGGTTAGAAGGCGACGTGGTGAAAGGAGGAATCCACAGTTTTTTGTGAAAGACATGTTCATCACACTGTTGGAGTTATGGCTTGGGGTGCTATAGCTTATGGTTCCAGGTCACCTTTAACCTGCATCAGAGGTAACATGAACGCGCAGCGTTATATCCACGAAGTTCTAGAACCCCATCTTTTACCCTATCTTGACACCCTGGCAGATCCAACTTTCCAACAAGATAATGCCCGACCACATGTTGCAAGAGTCACAATAGACTTCTTTCAACATAATGATGTCACATTGTTACCATGGCCAGATCTCCCGACTTATCCCCAATTGAGCACGTGTGGGATATGATGGGTAGGAGATTGCTCAATTTGCAACGTCCTCCTCAGACTCTAGAAGCACTTCGAGAGGAGTTGGTGGTTGCCTGGAATGAGATACCACAGGAGGACATTGACCACCTGATCAGAAGCATGCCTAGGCGCGTTGGAGAATGCGTAGCACATCAGGGTGCATCCACACACTATTAAAGGTCAAAGGGCTTTAAAGCAGTGCAATCATTGTGAAATTTTTATCATTTACTTATTATGCTTCATTAAGTACTTATACAAAATTTTATTAAAATAAAACCATTTAAACTGGGTGTTCGGATTTATATGTCACTTAGTATATTATCATTCATGTCGATTTTATTTTTTAAAGATTACGTCATCTAGAGGTCCTCTACCTGAAATTTGTACCTTGTATTTTGTAGAAAACGGTGAACCTACGTAATGATTAATGTTTCACGTTACGTAGAACCCACGGCCTAGTGCTATTTTTTCAGTTTAATTTGGAAATCGTAAATCTTCTCCGCGACAACAATGTTGACAGGTATGGGTGGTTCACAGAAACCATATTTATACCGGTTTGTTGCGTTTCCGCCATCGTTGCTAAGAGTGTCTCGGTAAAGACATGATCAATCTTGAGTTTATATATATGTAGCAAATAGTAAAACATATAAGACCTTAAAAAAATCAAAAGAGCGACTTACATCCAAGCTTCGGTGCAGTCATCTCAGGCATAGGAACGCCGATGGGTATCTGCAAAGGCGTAATATCAAAAGCTGTCATGTCATCTTCGCCGCCTCCTTCGTCATCATAGTTGATGATGTTCTCTCTGACGTCATCATCCGGTCCAGGGTACTTGATGTGAGCCTCTCGCCTGCGGTTGTACACCACAAAGACCAGAACCAGGACTATAAAATTGATTATACCGGTCAGATAGTGAGAGTTGAAAAAAAATTAAAGGGTATTGGAAGCTGCTAACTAGTTAGTAATATTTAGAAACTGGATATGTCCGCTTCAATTGGAAATCTTTTGTATCTCTTTAAATAGAACTATCTAGGCAGTTTGAATGCCATTGGCCAGCCCAAATCGGACAACTGTCTACGTTAAGTTCAAAGTGATATCTTGTGTTGACGTTATCAAGAACATATTTCTGTAGTCGAGAGGTTATGGTAAGTCAAATTCTATCTAAGATGGAGTTGTTCCAAAAAGTCACGAATTACTGATACCCACAGGTTTTTTATTCAAAATACATCCATGGGCATTTCTGAAAGTTCCCCTTCGAGGCCTTTTAGTCTACTGCAGAGTTCTTATTTAATTAACTACTTTAGACAAATTGAGTTTTAGCAAGAAACTTTTGCTATTTATTATTTTATTCAATGTAAGGCAGACATTTTTAAAATGTATGTGACAACATGCAATTCTAGGACAACCTAGACAGGTAGTGTAAAAAAATTTCAAAAAGATATAGATTTTAGATGTTTAAATTAGTTGAATTTATCGAAACAAGGCACGTGCTTGTTGGGACGAAGACGATCACTATTTAGGGGTAGTGTTTAGTTCTCTCATGTCACATATTTTTAAGGAGTTGAATTGGAACACTAGGTTTGCTATACAAAATTTTGAAGCGAAAGTGTAATTTTTGAGTTATAAAAAGAAAATTGTTCGCGTTGTCGCATTTCTTTCGAAATTTTGAGAGCATACCTCGGACTGGGATCCATCATCACAAAAAAACATGTTAAGTGAGATAAATCCAGCTACCCCAAAACATTCCGTTTTCTCTACACGGCGCTTGAAATGCTAAAAACAATAGATATTTTTTTTTGAAGCGGACATATTAGTTCAAGCTAAAGTTTGCATAAATTAACATATACAACCAGTACAAGGCTAAGTCAATACTAGCATTATTTTAGAACTCTTTAAAGGTAATTTCTTCGAATAGTAGCGTAGTGAATTTGTTATGAGAACTGTCCTTGCAAGTATAATTCTTGAAAAATAGTCGCTCTCTGTTACATAATCATCCAAAAACATTTTTGAATAGATAACGTATGTAATAAAAGTTTTTTCGTAAAATTCGTTGGATTTAATTTTAACAAACACAAAATAATATCACTGCTTTTGGAAACAAAAGTTTGTTTACTTACTTTACTGTATTTTGAAGTTTTCGCTTTAAGATTTCGTATAAATTAGAAATCAGAAAAAGTATCTACAAGTTGGTTGGGCGGGTACCCAAAGCTGAAATCTGTCGAATATTCCAGAATGAAAACGCAGAACTATTTATCGAACAATAGCGGAGTGCGAGCAGGAAATACCCTGTCTGAATCTCAGAAAAAGTGGAAGACCACATACATATACTGCACAGAGGTCAGAGAGATTGGCGAGAAGAGCAAAAAATCAGGTTAGAATGTCAACAAGGAGACTGCCTCGTCAATACAGATTTTCTAAGAGTACGATATCGTTGGAAGTGAGGAGGAAAGGTCTTAAATATCGAAAGAGACTTAAGTGCCGCAGACACTCTCAAGCGCAACTCCTTGGTATACTAAGATAAACAAAAATCATTACTTTAGATGACGAAAAGTATTTTACTATGAGTAATTCTGAAATGAAGGAGAACGACGGATTGTATACGGACAACGTAGAGCGATGCCCTGGCAATTTTAGATACAAGCATAAAGCGGAATCTGCAGATAAAATCCTTGTCTGATGCGCAGTTTCTTACATTGGTGTATCCCAACGTTTTGCGGGAAGAGGGAGGGGTGAAGCTTTGGATAGTCAGAACTATATTGATAAATGCTTTCCAAATTGCTTCAGTTTATCCACGAACATCATGATAATGACCATATCGTGTTGTGGCCAGACGTAGCATCATGTCATTACTAAAGAGTTATCCAAAACTGGCGACAACACAACATACCTTTAGAGGATTTTTGGGCTTTACAGTATTGGAAGGTTTATCATGGAAGCTGGGAAGCCCAAGATGAAGAACAGTTAAGAGGGCGTTTCTACGAAAAACTGAGACAAATTGATCTGAATTCCATCCAGAACCTCATGAGAGACATTCGAAGAAAGATGCGCCTGGTAGAGCACAATTCGATGGTATAGTTTCGTCAAGTATTGAGTTGCAGTTTGTGATAACTACGTAGTTAGTGTTTAAATAAATTTCTTCACTAGAAGAAAACCGATAAATATTTTGTGCCAAAACTTTTAAGACGTAACAGTACAGTGAAAATAACAAATTCAGACTATTCAAAAATAAATTGTATTGCCATGTTAAACTTCTGCTTTGCTCTATAAAAACATACAACAGAATAATCCTAATATTGACCTACCTTTTGTATGCAACTCAACCATATCAAATTTAGTAAACGTGGAATTTGAATGTAACGGTGGGGAGATATTGCAAATTTACAAAATAATATTCAAAGGCCATCAGAACTTCATGGCGCTGTTTAATTCCATACAATACCATTTCCTGGTAGCTGTACAGCAAACTGCCCAATTGTGCGTCATGTCAAAAGATAAAAGATACCATATTTCATTGTATTCTCTCCCCAGCGTCCATACGAGAATATAATGCGAAATAATTTGCTTTATTAGTGCAGATACAGTGGTAGCCAACATTATGCAATGTGTTTCAATTAGAGATTGGCCTCATTTTGATGAAATGCCATATGAATGGAGAAGAAAATAAATGTATCTTTATTTGATTCTTGAAAGAAGTTAAAAATAAACGGTGTTTGGTGGTTTTTACACCTTTCAGAATAGCCAGCGATTAATTCCTTTATTTATATCTTCATCACTTCTTTCACTTCGACTTTAAATACACGGCAACCAGACATTGGCTGACAAAGATTTAGGCGAAAAAGTACATTCCGTATTGACTGCTTTATCAGATAATGAATTGATTTAATTGGAAAGTTAATTTTTTCAGTCTTGGCTACCACTAAATAAACTATAAACACCAGCTAGCTATTATTTGGCAGGGAAATGCAATACTAGGCGGCCTTAAAGTTGGGACTTTCCTTTACATTGCGCATAGCTCTTGCAAGAATAAGTAAATTACAAACAGCAGAAGTATTAGGTCCAAAAAAAATCTATTGGAGTCCGGCACTGTATTTCACCTTATATTCAGCTGAGAAGCCTTGATGCCTCTCAGTGTCGTGTAGGTGAATCGAATGCCTGTTGACAAATGGTGTATGGAGAAAAAACGAAAGTTGCACATCCGTATTCCAATAACGAACTTGTCGATATCGTGTTTATTTACGTAGGTGATTTAAAAATGGTGTTGAAGCCTCACACTTGTATCCAGGTTGTTTTTCGCGACTTTTCCATGCTGCATGGGTTGAGTTATATCGTACAAAGATCTAAGGCCACATGCTGTTTGGAAGAACGTGGACCTAGGAAACACTGAGTGTTGTAAACGACGAGCATTAATTTGTGTCTTTGGAATCGAATGACGACAACTTCGAACAGTCTCTATGAGCATTATAGATAAAGCGGTACTTGAAATTTCTTACCAAAGAACTATAGTACTTCAAATACTTTTTGTTATTTTTTGCTCACAGCATTAATATGCTAATGCAATGTTATTTCAATCGTACTTATTCCTTTGAAGGATTTCCCAACTTTCAGACCTCCCAGACTTTTTTTGTCTTAAATATGTGCACGTCTAGAAGTGTAACAACTAAAACACTGATAGCTGATTAACCTAATCTATTATTATTAACTTACAGATAATCTGACTTGTAACTGACTCTTAAGTTCCGAACTCCTGTGAATGTGTCCAGCCTCGCTTTACTTTAGGCAACGATACATATTCTGACCGAACGTTGATAAGGAGAAAAGACTACCAACATACTTGTAGGTGCATCTAGGTTATTTTCAACAGATGTAAGAACTAGTAATATTTAAGTGAAACACTGTTGTTTCCGCACAATTCTGTCAATTTTGGTAGGTATTATTATATCCAGTAAGCTACTTCCATCGTTTTGAAAATATAGTGATTTCGATAATAGATTCATAATCAAGGTTCTGAAAAACGCTAGATTAATCAAACTTTAGATATTCGTCAAACTTTTAGGGGACTGGTTCCAATGTAATTCAGTTGAAACGGTACTGGTAGATAGATTAGGTTTCCCAAAAATATATTGCATCCACTATTTTGCAGAATGATACTCAATACTAGTCCTTAATCCCCATATCCCTGAACCAAATTCAAGCAGATCATAGTTTCATATTAAAATGTGTCCTAAAAGGTCTGGTTCCGAAGATACGAGGTGACAAAAGCCTCCCTACAATAATTAGCCTATCAACGTTTCGGTATCCGAGTACATTAGGCGTCATTCGACAATTCTGCCTAATTTTAGTGAAGTCTGGAGACACACTCGTCTGGAGCTTGTAAATACTCACCCAACAAGCACAACAGACACACGATAACGGCCAAAATAAAATCTCTGGAAGGCATGATGGCCCCTGCGGAGGCCAGTTCCAATTCGCAATGGCCCCCCGTGTACCCCGGCGGACAGGCGCATTCGTACCTGAGCGGGGGGTCGTAGTCTCGGCAAATGCCCCCATTGGTGCACGGGAGCCACATGCACTCATTCTCGTTCACGCATGTGCTCTCCTGGTACTTGTAGCCTGACTGACATCTAATGTGCATATACATAACAGGTATGTGTTAACGGGTTTGTGTTTGGTAGTGTATGAGATGGATATGGATTTTGTTGTCAGAGAGGATTATGTTATATCTCGTGGTTTATGATTTTTGTCAAGGGAGTAACTTCAGACATATCAAAAATTGTGCTGTGCGCAACGAAGGTCAATTCATATCATACGCTGTGCGCCATACCAGCGCTTACAGCAACACCAGTGACCACGGGTGAAACATTGGCTATGTTTACAACGCGGTAGGCTAACCACAGGATTGTGCTATTATATATGTTGACACTACTATGTGCTAAGGAGATAGCGCAATACAAGCTCATTTAAGGCGTGCGCTGTGCGCTATAGCATGTGCTGAGAGCATTGTGATCACGGTATAAACATTATCAACTTGTGTTGCGTTCTAGGTTTAGCCTAGCACGCAGTTTGAGTGCTGCGCTATCTTGGAACGATGCGATGTTAACGCACTGCGCAGCATAGTCCTGTGGTTAGCTACCCATGGTGCCTGCGGGCACTGGCGCTGCGCTAACAAAAGCACGTTGCATTATATCATGGCATAACGCACAGAACAGCACGAATCTGTTGCTAGCTAACGACGGTGTGAATATCACCAAATGTTCTCTTTGTATCACGCACGAAAGCTGTGTCCAGTGCATATGCTTTGACGAATGGTGTCAAAAATTGTTTACTACGCTTTTCGAAAGTGTTTTCCTTTATTTTAAGGGCCGCGTGATGAAATTTGACATTAACATTTCGCATGGCAACTGGCAACCTGGCAAAAGTAAATAAGGTTGTGTACAGTGACAACAGCGTATATATGTAAAGTGAACAGTACACTACTATTCCTTACCAGCTGAGTATCCGGCAACGCCAACACATGTCAGATATAAACATTTTGCCAGTTTGTCAGTTGTCAAATATGTCAAATTTCAAATCAGGTCATGTGACCCTATTCTTGGTATACAACAACAGCGTTGAGGCAGATTAATGGAATAATTCCTTAACTTTCCTTTAAATTTAACACCCTGAGGGCCAGTTTTTCAACCGTAGCTTAACTGCAATTTCACCGATAACCGAAAGTTCAAAAAGCGCTTTTCCAAGTCAGGTTTGTCCTAAATGGTAGTTAACTTTAACCAGAGGACCAGGAATTGGTGAAATAGGAAGTAGTAGCTAGACCGCAATGTCTCTCTGTATTTTGCTTGACAGTGACAAGAGGTGTCACCAATTACATGAGACGTGAATACCGAGCACAGAACACGATAGTTCTGACACAGATGCAGCGTCGATCAATGTTGACAAGTCAGTTAGCCATAAAATCGAAACGATTTTCGGGTAACTTATAGTCAACTTGAAAACAATAGTTGCACAACTTGAAAGTTCAATTGTGATCGAAAACCACGGCCTAAGGGTTAGGGCTGTAGCTCCCTGGTTTTTAGATGAAATACATATTTTTTAAGTCTTAGTTATCGACAAGAAATGTTAGCCAAATAATTTATAATCGCCTATTTAGTCAGATTCATCATAACACGTCAAAACCCGAGATGCTACTGGCAAGTATTTTGAGTGTCTGTCACGTTTTAACTCATTTTCTGTTTTTGAATAATCTCTAGATTATTATCGGACTCTAGTCCGATCGGCTACAGAGCTCTAAATGGGTTGTACCGGATTCTCTTAATAAACTATTTTTTTATGGTTCTGCAATAGACCTCAAAAGAGGTAAGAGCTTTTCAAATGATCTACGACAAGCCCTTACTTTCAGTTTAAATATTTAGAGATTGACAGCTCTAACGCTTAGAGTGTTGAATATAAGGCTGGAATTTTAAAACAATAAAATTTCATTCTAAAGTTGATTTGATCCGGGGCTTTTATGAATATGCACAGCAACTGAGCAAACGAACTTATTCCATTTGACTGTCCCACACTATTTGCCAGCGTAATCTCTTGAGCAATCGGAAAACAATTCAAGGGTTAAAACAGAGTTCTGACATAAGATTTATACGCGTAAGTTATGTTGTACGATTTTACACTCGCAACAGTAAAGATTTATTTTCTAAGAGCAAAAGAGCAATGGAGTAATACATAATACATTGTAGATGTACCCGAGCGTATAGCCATGTTTCTCGTGTTAAAAATATGAACGTGTTTGGTATGTAGAACAAAGTTATTGTGATATATGCGAGATATACGTGGAATGGGTGTGGGAAGTATAGACATGTGAACGGGTGTGGTGATAAGGTGGATTGCGCAGTGTTATAAGTAGTTTTATGTGATCTGTAACATCTATAACAGTTGAACAGAGAAAAACTACTTACTCACCAAGATTTGATGACTGGTTGCTTTGGCACTGAATTTGTTTGTTAGTACTGATTCTTACCATATAATAAGGCATGCGGGTATGCAAAAGGCTGACTAAATTACTAAATGGTGAGCTACATGCACATGCTTCATATGTCACAGTGAATAAATAATACATTTAGGTTGTATAGAGCAAAATTACCAAATCGCTGCTTTCATTTTACCTGACTAGTTGAAATGTTATTACCATATCCCGGTATGGAGAATTATACAGAGTCTTACTGACCAGACCTCGTATATGGTTATCAAGCTTATGGACCAATTCAGGCTATTTTGCACCGGACAATAGACGTAAAATATGCGAACGTTGGCACAGCAATAACCATATTATGCCTGTCGATTGTACATGGATTTAATGCTTTGGAAGCTTCAAAAATTTTATTATCTACATTTGCTCCCATCTACGCGTTACAGCCAGATTATGTTGTATCTGGTCATGTACAAGTTAAATCAGGATGAAAAGCTGATATTTGTTTTTAAAATGAGATGACTGAAAATAGTAATAGATGAGGCAAAACCTCGCATTCGTGAAAAAATATTCCAACTCACGATTGTTGATTGCTGATGAATCATGATGTTGCCAGGCAGCAACCCGGTGCAAATTTGCTTGAACAATTCCTTTAACAGATTAAAAGTCAATGTTCTTTTTATAATTTTTGACTGAGTTTACACGCATTAAAAATGGTCATTTTTCGGGTCTCCAGCCCAAATCCCTTATAACTGGTAAACGGTAAATTTTATGGAACTGTTACTGATGATCGTTTTCATTTTGCACCGGTTTCCCGCCTAAAAATCTGTTGATTCATGGAAATGGGCATCCATCAAATGTGGTTATTATAAGAAAAATCAGGTTCTAATCTTCACTAAGTATATTTTTCGTTTAGAATGATAAAAAGAAATAAAAATCACTGGAGCGAAAAAGCTAATTATTTTGTAATTTGTTTAAAAAAGTGTTAAAAAAATTTCTATCTATGGTAACGGGCATCCATCAACATGATTATCAAATAAAAATCAAGTCCAAACCTTCACGAATGCGATATTTCAAGTAGATATGCTAGGATGGCTCTGGAAGAGTCAATTTCATTTATAGGATAATCCAAAAGTTTGGCATCTCTCGAGGTTATTTCAAAGAAAAAAAAATCATAAGAACGCATATCTAAAACGTCTTGAATTTTGAGATACATGATAGTAAGCTTCAAAAAATTACAAGTTTCATAGTATTTAACACTCCACTCTAGATGTTTTAATGAAATTTGGTACACATTAGGCATTTTTAAACGTACAAATAGAAATAGCTCTTTTCATTCTTCCATTGAAATTTGAGCTAAACGGTTCTGATTGTAACAAAAATTATTTATTTAATTCACATTCACTCTTGAGCAAAAATCAGTCTCGTGATGTTCTGATGTTTTCGCGTTCCAATAAGAAATATTTCTCTGCATAGTGATAAATATGCTCGTGGACATGGAATGTGGAAATTGTTCAAAAATAACAACCAATATAACACCAACATAATGATCCTACTCACTTACGCGAAAGAGTAAATTAGTAAAAACAAATTCATCAACATCCAATTTGCTGAGAAGAGATTGACAAACGTATGAATATTTTCTGTGAGGATAAAGATCGATACCAGTATTTTAAAAATCAATGTACTCGTGCATCAGAAAATGTACGTATGTACGTATAGTGCGACCATTCACCAAGCTCCATTCAAATACATAGAAATACGGAATTTGGGACGTTGAGAAATAGGTTCATGTGTAGCTTTTGCTTAACATGAACTCAATATTTGTCACTTCAATATTCTACCCCACTTTTGCAACACCCATTATGAAATAAATATAAATAAAACTTATCATACGAGTGCCAAAAAGCCTTACAAAGTTATCAATAAATATGCAGTGGGAGTTGTTCTAACGATGTGACAATTTGTTTTGACAAATACTAAGTTACATGTAGTGTTGATTTAAATTATTATGCGCCTTCATATACGCCTTGTTCTAAGATAAAATGAAGCAGCGAAGTGTACTCTGCCCTATAGTTAAGGTGGTCAAGTTTTCCACCTTTCTAGTCGTCCGAGAGATTGCATACCATTAATAAAAGTAACTGATATGCTGAAGCTTGATTATGTTTACTATAATTAATTTATTACCCCAACCTTTTAGATAAAGCTTTATGTTAAAATTGGATGAGCTCAGCTGAAGCCAGTCTATGCTGCAATGAATCTTTTTCCATTTGAGAGCGCCTATTCAACTGTGTATCAGTAATTGCTATTGGCCCGGGTACCATACTGTCCATCTTCACTTATAGTGCAATTTGGCGTAATCAGTGATATAGAGGCTAAGTATGTTTGGCTCGTTCATCGCAGAATCTACATTCAAATTGGTATGCATTCCCTCAAACTACAGCGCCTGATAAAGATCAATGAACAGCAGCTCACTGAGTATGATGAGCAGACAGACGAGAATGGCGGCAAGTGCGCCCATGCTGAGCTTGAGTGTTTGTCCCTCTTGCACCAACTCGCAGTTCTCTCCCCAGAATCCGTCGGGACAATCGCACCGATATCGCAGCCTTGGTTCCAGGTTGACACACCTGCCGCCGTTCAGACAGGGCAGATCCAGGCATTCGTCCTTGTCCACGCAGTCCTTGCTGTCTGGCGACATCGCTCGACCTTCACCGCAACTGAGTGGCGCAGGCGCGAAGATGGTTAGCGAGCGGTTGAGGTTAGGTTTGTGATTGTAGGGGATGGGAATATTTTTTTCACGACACTTCATCGCGGTTTGACGTCTATTGAGGCCATGGAGGCTATATACCAGGAGAAGCTACGGAGTGCCAGAGGTGCTTTGACAGGGTTGCCATTTTGGGGGATTTTTACTTGTTTTTTTTTGTGGATGTAATGTTTGGCGGATAGAAAGCACCCCCCGTTCTCTGAACAACCAAATATACCCCTTTCCATTAATTAACTGTGATTTGGGGGATCTGAGGGATTTTATCTTGCTTTCTGGAAATTTTGTCCGACCCATCTGGCAGTGCTATGCTTTGACAGATCCAACATATGAATACCAACAAACGGATTCCCATTTTGTTCATTGTAAATTAACTAAAATATTTTTGCTTATTTCTTGTTAATTGTTACTGTTATTTAGTTATTTGTAAAGAACTGTTCGAAAGCCTCTCTTTGGCGATAACGAATTGTTTTACGAGGGAGAACAGTAGCATGTTCATTGTTTGGAATCCCTGCTATCCTCCAAAATGCTGGTGAAAAACTCAATCTTCTACCCAAAGACCGACAAGTAACACTGAAGATGAAGATTGATAGAAGAATAATCAAATCTGCAAGAATTTATTCCAAGTGTTTTACAAAAGGTAAGGTATTGAGTGTGACCTATAACAATGAAAACAGAAGTTATTCGTAAAACCTGTGAGCTGGCACCTAGCTGATTAGCTTTTAGGGTCTTACGGGGGTGATTTCACGATTTAGTTCAGTATCAAACTGTGGTATCACCACAAGCCAGCTTGAAATTAAAATATTTCCTAATCTCAAATATCCTGCGTATGCACAGAAGCTGGTACACACTTCAATCACTGCGCTCTCAGGCAGGTGTCAAGTTTGGGGTAGTTTTTTTCTCATTACGCCGGTTCTTCTGGTATATGGGTTCTATAGTTCAGTTTGTATTGTTGGCGATAGTGAACCTGGTAGAACTCGCTAGAATTATTTGCAAATTTTTCGCCTCAAAGCGTCTTAGGAAGTATGAAACTGTAGCGTAGAAACACAAACAAAATGTGTCTGTTTACAGATCCGTCAAAGTTATGTGTTACCTGTCGCCATGGGGTTTTTGAGTCTCATTAGCTCATTAGCTGTTATTTGTTCTCACGTTTTAATGTGATGAAGTATCGTGAAAAATAGATTGGGAAAATGTCATCTGCCACTTTGACACTTTACGGAAGCTCAATCGATTACAAAATGTTTGGTTCTAGTGTTTCTGTTCAGCTTCATTCAGTTTCCGTTTAAAGATCACTGAGTAACTGATGTCAAACAGGTGACCAAAATGGTGAGGATAGTGTTCTTGTTAACCTTAGATTGTGTTCGTTTTTTGAAATTCATGTTATTTATCAGAATTAGAATATGCGACAGAAATCACGAAATGTCAGTTGTTATATAATAGCAACTTCAGGTTTGTGTGAAAACAACCATTGTTTTAAAGCTTGTCACCGAATAGTGTCTAGTTAGAATAGCAGTCGAGAACATTTAAACTTCGGGGTTTTAGGATTATAGGGTTAGGGTTAGGCGGTAAATAATGTATGTTGATGGAATACTACTGGCTAACAAATGTATCGTATATGGAAATCGTCTGGCAACTATGTAAGTTACTATTTTGCACAGAAGTATTGATATCTGGATGCAAGCCGCTTGAATCTTATATATGAAAAATGTACATACATCTCTTGTTAGCTTTAACTGGAAAAAGCTCCTCATAGCTAAAACCTATTTGATATGTCCGTTCTGCAGTTTTCTCGCACAAACATCAATATTTATTTGCAATACTCCAGCGCCTTTTATACCCCATTTACAGCTATAATTTATCTGTACGGAAACACATTAATCCGTGTTTGTATAATCCTGGCAAGTCCCTACAAACGTGCATATATTTGTAAAGCATAAATGCACAAATCCTATAGGTAGAGCTGGAACATTCGAAAACTTGCAACTTTAAGCCCTAGGTTTTAATCGTACTTTCATACTCGGCTTTTGCTATAATGCTTGGTTAGTGAACCGGCTAAAGGGGCATAAGCAGCCCAGGGATAAGCGAATTTATTCTTCACGTAGAGATTTAGGTTCAAAGTGAAAGACACGAAGGTTATTCACGTCTGCGTTCCAATTGAAGTAAAGGGCCGAACAAAATTAAAAACCTCTTTGAATAATACTGATATAAATAAATGTAGCGAAAAATAATAATCAGTTCAGCTCAGGGTGTATATGTAAACAACAACAATGACCGCTTTCTATTACAATAAATGAAAATTTGTACTCCCTTTATTGTAAAATATTAATATTTTAAGCACACAACGTAACGGATGATACAAATACCCTCATATTTTGCCGCTAAAAAGTATAATAATCTACCACGATAAAGGTAGCGCAAGCAAAATTCTGATTTCACATCTAACTCACTGTTAAAGGTGTCAGCAAGATAGGAAATGATTTTCAAGTATTTTCAATTTTTGACAGGTTTTCGAATGAATAGCTGTGGAGTAGTTTACTAAGAAAAATTTATCGGGAAAATATACGAATGATAGGAATACGTTTTTGTCCATAAGGAGGAGACAGTGAAAATAATAAACACATTTTAAGTTGGTCGCATCTAGAATTTTGTACGTTCAAATAACTCTTAATGTATGTATTGTAAATGTTCATCTTTTTTGTATTGTAGTGCTTCATTGTATTTCAAAAGCCCGAGCTACGCATGTTGCCATTTTTGCCCCAAATTGGACCGTTTTAACATTTGTTTTTATTTTAGCGCACTGGCGCAGCACTCTGATTTTCACATATGTTTTGTGTGTGACAAACAAAAATCTAAAATACATACTTATACGTATATATGTATATTCAATTGCAAACATTTCATTAATGCGATCAACTTGAAATTTGAGTCACTTTCAGGGCCGAGAAACGTTTCTTACCCTTCACGACAAGCATGTTTTGAAAATCCACTGTTACACTTTAGATCGTTGCTCTATTACCCATGAGTATAGCTCATGAACAAAAGTACGACACATAATCGACCAATATAAATATTTTTATTGCCAATTGTTTATATCGTAACATAGAGTGGAGTAGGATTAATAGTTGCAATTGCAAGATCTTCCGTAGCATCGTAGTATTCAGACTCATCATCAGCATCTGGACTAAGAGCGTTTGCTATCCTGATATATTCGTTGTTATCTGGAATGCTGGTATGCGAGGTTACGAAAGTCACGCTGCGGCTAGTGATCAGATCAATAGCGGGTGAGCACTTTTGTGGATTCACCATTAGCTTGTATTGCCTACTGAAACTATTCTCCGAATCAGTAGCACTACTCGCCTCCATTACAATGCTTGCTTTTGTCTTAAGGTGGAAAGGCATCCGATATCGTTCTAGACTACCCTGTCGATATCGTTCCCGACTTACATTTTGATCAGTCTCTGTACTACTCGACTCCGTTTCTACCAATTTCACATGTATTAACTTTTCGCTCGTCTTAACCATTACATCAACAGTGGCTACGATAACAGTTTCAGTACCTACTTCCCTTTCACTCACTTCTTCATTTTCCTGAGTTGACTTTGTTCCACCTGCTTCTACCATTTCTAACTCTATTTTATCTTCTTTAGCTGTTGCCCGGGTTTCGTCGTTTTGGAGTACATTTTCCACATCAATTTTATCTCTACTGCTATGCTTCAACACAGCCTCCGTTCTCTCCATGGTAGGCCATTGGTGGAAATTCTTGCGTTTCTGGTTTTGGAAAGCTGGTGACTGTTCCTTATTTGCTTTTGGCTCTGAGTGTTTTTCCTCCTCTTGTAGGCTTACTTCTTTGTAGCACTCATCCTCGACATCAACCTCTTCCATCTCCAATTCTTTCCTTCCATATTCTTCATTTTCGTTGATCTCGGCCGGCATTCCTTCATCTAGTCCTGCTCTGGCGTCATGTTCTTCAGTTATTATCACTGCCACTTCAGGCAAGCTGACCCATCGGCTTTCATCTCCTTGCTTGCTATCTCCAAAGAGCATTGTAGTTTCAGGTTCTACCCCTTCAATTGACATCCCCTCTCCACCTCCTTGGTGTTTACTTGCCACATTGCGCATGACGTCCACCATGAATATCAAATCTTCAAAGATTGCTTGTTGGAGTAAGGGTGGCTTTAATTCAGCTCTCACTCTAGGGCCCAAACAAGGGGTGGACCACGCTCTTGGAAGACGTCCCACAAGCTCTGGATAGTCCTCGATGCCAGCGATGTTGATGTACCTGCGGTTGCGCCTGTGGGAGCCTTCTGACATTACAGGGGGTAGCAAGGGGTCCAGAGGTGTCCCTAGTGTTGGAGGTTGATACCCAGGGCTTTCTGGTCTCAAGTCATTATCCGTAGTATCATCACTGTCATCAAACTGAGACTTCCATTGACTAGCAAGCGTTACCATTCCAGCTCCTCGTGTCACTTGTTGGCTGAAGATATCATCGTCTATTTGAGCGAATTGCGTGACCGTTTGGTCCTTGAATCCAGATCCACTGGTCCTTGCCATCGGGGCTAGTCTACTCCGTTTATCTTCTGACTGCGACTGGGCAGGTAGCTTTTCTTGATCTGGAGATTTGGTCCCACCACCACCACCTAATTTTCCTCCCGTGGGCGTAGCTACCCTCAACCTGTTCAAATTAGACTGCGACTTCTTGACAGGCCTCTGCTTGTTGACCAATGATTTATCATTATCAGTAGACGAATATTGCTCTGTGTGTGTTGCGGCCTTACGTATTCTTTGCAGCAGGTTGTAATATCCAGCGTGTTGACTTGTCAATTCATTGACGTCGGTTTGTGTGATTTTGACTATATGAGTATCTGCCTCTTTCTGCTTGATGTCTTTGTTGTCGGTGGTGATGGGATCGATGTTTTTTTTATCGTTTTCGGTCACAGGTGCTGTATGTTGTAGTTGGGTAGCGTTGTGTGTTTGTGCTACGGTGGATGGCTGACCTGCATCAACTACAGTGCGTAATGGCGGTTGTTCTGGAACTGAGTCATCCGTTCGCGTCACTACCTTCACTATGTTTGGTTTCTCCCAATCAAATGTATCAGACACCTCCACACCCCGTCGCTTTATGCATCGTTCAAACAAGCTGATTAGCATCTGGTAGTCTGGCTTATCGGCATATTCCAAGCTTTGTATGTGCTCCAGAAACTGCTTTAAATCTGACGGCAAGTGCTTTAACAACAACCTATGGTCGTACTTCTCCTTCATAATGCCTACTTGCTCCTTGTCCTTAACTTTTTTCCACGGCAACTGGCCATTTACAAATTCTACCAGCATATAAAAAAGGCTCCACAGATCATCATGCCTTCCCATTTCTCTATTTTTGTGTGCGTTGACACTAGCATAGCGTACCGTACCTCGGAAACCAGCTGCAGCCCTGGGAGGCCTCACTTCCCCTGAGGCAGTTATGTACTGCCTAGCCAGGCCAAAATCCAGCATATATACTTTTCTACTGTTATATGGCAGCCTACCCATAGAGAAATTGCTGGGTTTGATATCTCGGTGCAAGAATCCTACAGAGTGTATGCTCTCAATGGCTTCGAGTATTTGTAGGCCCAGTCGTAGCGTTGTGGACAAGCTGAAGGCAGACTTAGGCTGGGAACGCCTCAGTTCTGCCAGGTTACGACCTTGTAGCTGCATTACTACATAGTTGAATCTGTCATTCCTCCCACAGCCTACGAACCTGCAAACGTGATCTTTCCCTTGAAGTTTCTTCAAAACAGCTACTTCCATTTTGAGTACTTGCTTAGCTTGCCTTGCAGATTCTACTTTCAATGCAATTTGCTCTCTTGTTTTCAAGTCTAAGCCCTCGTAAATTTCGCCAAATCCGCCACCACCGATTTTTTTCAATATTTTCCATCGCTCTTTAATAACATGTCCTGGTTCTAGCAGATCTTCGGCCAACATGGTAAGGTTCTGAAGGGTGAAATCTAAGGTAGAATTTCATTTTGTGTACAGTTAGACACAAGTATGAGGAAGTCGTGACTACACTTTAAAGCGAAAACGTTTGGAGTATCGCTAGATTTCGCTAATGTGTTGTGTCAATCTGAGGCCGTCGAGTCATGCTTCAAACTAAGTGATTTATGGTCACTTGAGGTACTTGATCCAAAACTAGCTGTACTTAGTTCCGAAGAGCTGCTAAACTTTGTGGGAGAGACTCTTCTTCCGATCACATACTATCTATGTTCAATGGCGTCTTGAGATCTAGGAGGCCTCGTCATACCTCCTCTAATGAAACCTAGCGGTGACTTATCACCATACGTAGTGGTTCCCCAAACCATAACTCTTATAGTATGGTGCACGACATGCTCAACTGGAAACCTACATTACGTCTCTTTCCACGGTGCTACCTGATTCGTATCCGCCAAGCAAGCACTCCTAATCAGAGCCAGGGCTCATCACCAAAAACAGTTTAGGAAACACATTGGCACATTGGTATATTATATTTTACACCAAGGCAGCCTGCCTAAGGTTAGTAAAACTCTTGTACTTTATTCCACAATCTCGATACCCTAGGGTCAAAGGAGCGGTAGTATCTGTCAGTCCCGGATGTACGAAGTTCGTCACGAATAGGATGGTCAGGCATGTCTGTCTGGCAGGCACATCGCCAGGCGGCATCATGGAGGAAAGCTCGTTGGTGTAGCGGTAGAAGAGAGCTTGATCGCCGACAGGTTGCAATGAAATGTCTCAATAATGCTAAAGTTAGCCTCCTTTCTTGACCTCCTTTCTTGACCTCCTTGATCTACAGACCTTCCATCATTTGAACATGTGCGAGATATGATGGGAAGAACATTCTCCACCAACGCTCTTCGAAGTCAATTGCAGCTAATTGCAGAAGCATGCCCCGCCGACTGAGAAGGTGGCCCCACACATTATTAGGAAAAGCCAACGATACAGCAAACGTATTCACTTCAAACTTAATCACGACTTCCTCTTACGCATCTCTAACTGTATAAGAAACTTCATTAAAAAAGTTATTTCCCTAGTCACTGCGTATGTTATTAAATTTGTTGGAACATTGAAAAAAGACTGAACTTTTTCCTTTCTAATGTTTATCGAAAGAAAGCCAGATACGATTGTCTCTTCTCAGCTCTCTTTCTATCGGGTATTTGAAAGCTTTAGGCCTGATTTTACCACTGACAGGCGGAAATAAAAATAAGAAGGCGTCTTTGAAGTGGCTAATGATCTACCGAATTTGGTTGATTTTGGTAAAACGTCTCTCAAACTAGAGAAAAATTATGGATTCAAGTAAGATAGGCTCCTAATTCTCATATTAAATCAAGAAATATTTCATATATCGCATGATTCAGCCACAAAAAGCCATTTTTCAAGTCAAGTTGACGCAAATTCCAATAATGAAAAAGAATTTGTGGCCTGATAAAATTACTGAACATTTTATTGAAAATAACAGTGCCTGACTATCGCTTAACAAAATTCTGCTTAACCAATTCTTTGTAGACAAGTAAAATAACAGAATGCTTATGCTTCAACAAACATCGAGTAAAACCCTATTCCTCAAGCTGGCTCTGTTGCTGTAAAGTGTTAACAGGAAGATGTCGCGCTCTCTACTGGATGGTAAGACGTCTAAGTGGCCACGCTGCACCGTGGTGACGGTGGCAAGGCTAGAGGTAGTTGTCCTACTGCCCAGTAGAAAGAGCTAGCTGTTTGTTGAAGAGTAAACAATCTGCAGTTTCACTTATGTCCTCAAAGAATTTATCAACATCAACATTATTTGAAATGCAAACTTGATTGCCGTCATATCCATCTAGATATTATACCAGGATTATGTTCATGGTTCGAGTATGGTGCAAATGCTTATTTTTCATTCTTGCATATGTGCGTAAGAAGAAATAAGTTTTTGTAGCTTAACCAAGTGATTTATGACTCATTTCAGGATTTAATATGGGAATTCGGGGCACGTCTTTCACAAACCGTATAATTCTTCTCTAGTTTGAGAGACATTTTACAAAATAATCGACCATACTCATTAGATCCATTACTTCAAAGACGCCTCCTTATAGGGTGAATTTGATACCCACGTGCTTTTTTATGCCCCGGCTTAGTATCTTAGGGGGCTTGAAGAGAGCTTGAGTTTTAATAAAAGCATTTTGAGATAGCCTAGCATTTTAGGTGAAGTTAGGATCGATGCTCATGACATTTCAACTTATTTTGAATTTTTTGACCTCAAGGCTCCTAGCAATTCAACTAACCTTTCTAGATTAAGTTCTTTGGCACTCCAAAGCACTGATAATCAATGCACATTCCATGTTCTTCTGCCTTGAAGTGTTAGACGCTAAATGAAGTTAATAATGGTACCGGTTTCTACTTTGATTTAGAATCTTGTTTTTCATTCCTATTCTAGGTATGTTTTAATGACGAAAGGTTTCTGGGTCACAAACTGACATTCCGTAACTTGGACTTTTGCCAACTGCCATCATTAAGCTGACATGAATATTGGGTACGTTTACACCACATGCGTTGATCCTCTTCTTAGCGCTAGTGCAACGAACGTTTTGCAATCATTCTGCCTAAATCGCAGCAACCGCATGTCGCTAGCATGGTTTGTATCAGTTCACAAATACAAAAGACCTATAGTCAACGCCAAACAAAGTGGCGTGCACGTCATCAAGGTGGGTGTGTTGAAAAATTTACATTGTTGCCAAACTTTTTGTAAAATAATAAAATTTATTATTTACATATCTAGGTTTATAAGCAATATTAACTTCAAATGAGAACAAAAATAATAGTATAATAAAATTATAGATCTGTACTTGCATAATCATTAAGTATGACAATTATTGATCAGATGACACTATGAAACTACCATATTTAATTGATAGCTTAAAGGTACTGAATAAAAATCCAAATGGGATCCTCCAAATTTTATGCATGGTATTTATTTTACAGAATTCATACAGAAAAATGCATTCTAAAATTAGGTAAGCTACTGGTGTAAGCTTTTTCTGTACAATAAAGTTAGTCGGAGTTTCTTTCTTCAGCGCTGTCTGAATCTGAATCTTCATCACTCTCAAAGTTGATTATTAAAGGTTCGATGTCTGGTCGATCAAAAATTCGTTCTCTTTCATACCATTTAAAAATTTCTTGCTCAGTATGTCGAACACTATTTTTCCACATGTCTGGGGTAACCGTTTGTAGAGCCTCGTTCCACATATCCAAACAGTCTTTTTCACTGTTACCATCTCTACCAATATGTCTGTTATAGTAACCTTTTGCTATGCCCCAAATTAACTCAATAGGGTTAAATATACAATGGTAAGGAGGCAGACGAAGAACTTTGTGCCCATGTTGTTCCGCCAATTCATCAATCACGTATATTTTAGGTGGTTTGTTTCTAAAAAAGCAGTTATTTTAAGAATAGGAATAAACAAAAGAAATATAAACTGTCGACCAAAATATATATAATTAAGAAGCATTATGTACCGAGCAACAATACTCAATAGCTCTGTTTTAAACATTGTGTTTAAAAATGGTATGTTTTGATTTGTCAACCAGTCTTGGATATTTTTTTTTGTCCATGCATTGTTGGGCACTTTGTTCAATATCATGCTGTGATAAGGGGCGTTATCCAGTATAATCATAGATGGACTCTCCAATTTTTCTAATAACTGATGTTGAAACCATTTCAAAAAATTGTCCTGGTTCATCTCTCCATGGTAATCGCTCAATTTTGTTTTCGAAGAAAATATCGCTTCACTACCCTCAATAAACCTATTTTCATTTCCAGCATGTAATATAATGTATCTAAAATATATTAGTTTTAAATTTTATAGTGCAAATTGTGTAAAAGTACATACCTTTTACCATCTGTTTTAATAGCTTTCACGCTTTTTTGGTTTCCATTTTGCCAAGAGCGACCTATGGTCCCATTTTGAAATATCCAAGTTTCATCGAGGAAGACAAACTGGTATAAGGCCTCAACCTTGGCTTGATTGTATTGCCTTAGAAATTCCTCCCTTTGCAAAGCTATACTTGGTAGTTCCATGAGCCCTCGTCGCGGATTGTCCTTAAGCCACTTAAATCCAAGATCTCTAAGCAACCGCCTTAAAGACGTGGCACTACCATCAAATAATGCCCTATCTCTTAATCGAGACCATAAAGTTTGTATCGTAACTTGTTCTTCTGAAACCATGTGTAATATGACATTATAATTTAGTTAACAAATTAATGCAAATTTCTGATAAGTTATTATAATAAGATCTTACTTTTGTGATACATATTATAGATCACTTCTCGAATGGCACTTGTATCCAATGTCGCTGTGTTGGTTACACGTTTAATATAACTTCGCTTTTTCTTGGGCGATTCTAAATTTGCATCACTTTTCACACCCTCGGAAATACGACTAACTGTCCTTAAACTAATTTTTAATGCAGCAGCAACACGCTACAAAAAATGAAATAAAATTTCACTATTATTAATATACATTACATATAATTATTAGTAACCTACCTCTTGAACAGCATTTAAAGGCAACAAAGGCCCGTTGTTGTCCCTTTCTTGCTCAAAGTAGTGCATTAACGAGGCCACGAGTTCCTTACACCGACTATTTAACTGTTTGGGCATCTTTATATACCAAAATTGCCTTTATCTACTCGTAAAATGAATAATTTTGTTTTGAAACAAACAGTTGTTGATTTACAGTATGCGGGGCCAAAGGATTTATAAAGATTTGAAATGCCACAAATTGATTCAGTGTAAAAATTAATACAAATGTCAGTTCCCAGTTTAAATAAGTTTCAAGGTGACAATGTGTCAACGCTGCGAAATCGGTTTAGTGCGTTTACATGTCGATAAGTGATTGGAGCGTTTGCAAAACATTTTATTTCGCATAATGCGTCTAAATTTATCAGAAAGCAACTTATGTGATATTTTAATAACAATGTTTATATGACTATTAACCATAATAAGAGAGTAATGACCATTTTACAATTTATATATCACATTAATATGAAACTGCAATAGAGCAATTGTTTGTGATAGAAACCTAGGCATTAGGTCGGGGAATTTTTATCGTGATGACGTGCACGCCACTTTGTTTGGCGTTGACTATAGATTAGCACTTTTTCGACAACCTGATCATCTAAAACTATGATTTATTCTGTATTGCTTTACATTGACTGCTTTTTCATATAATTTTCATAATTGTATGATATATCTTTGGTATTATTTGTTAAAGAGATTCGCTTTTCTGCCAGTTAGAACCTCAGTAATTTTTGGACCTACCCTGATGAGTAGAAGAGGTCAACTCAAGTCATGGTGTGTGGGTACAAGCTCGTAGGAAGGCGGGATACAATATACTATTCAATAATATGAGTATATTGCCCAGTGGAGCAGTATTGCTCAAGTAAGCAGTGCCACAGATCTTGCAAGTGACAATTTAAATCGATGTTCACTGGTGCCTATTTCATGTTCTCTTGATAAGACCAGTTTATATGTCCATAGTATTTAATCCAAAAATATCGCACGACCTGGGTGAGCTCGTGCTAGTTCTGTCACCTGTCAACAGTCCCACAGCTTTGATTTAAGGATTTGAAAAGAAATGAAAAAATATTTTCTACTGATAGATGACAGAACAAAACACGAAACGACATGTTTTTTTGGTAAAATTTTGGAAACAACGACAATTTTATCAAAAAGAAGCGCTATCAGTATATTCAAACATTATTTATCGAACACACTAAGAAACTACACCAAAACGAAGGTGTGTCAATTTGGAGTATCATTATGAAAACCTACAGCAAAACCATGAAACAGATGGAGTGAGAACCTACTAAACACAAACACCAAGTTTAGCTTGGGGTTGCGTGGCCGATGTGTACAAGATTGATATTCAATAAACATTAATACTACTTAGTGGCTCTATAGCCACAAAACTGTCAATTTTTACTGATAGTACATTTTCACATTGTTTTTAGACAAATTTACAACCAGATGACAATACTTCCATGAAAACGCCAGAGCAATTGGAGCCGTAATTTATTCTAATTAAATTAAAATTGATAAGCAATCGAAATAAAGTAAGGCGGAAAGTAAGATTGTGATAAATCGTCTCCAGAGAGCTGTTGCAAGATCACAATCTGGATAAAAGGTTGTTTTAGATGGTCGTGCCATTTTCATCGTTTGCCAATTGGAAGAGTTGCATTCGGTTTTTCTTATCAGCTCACAAAATCCTTAAAGGAACATATGTTCCTTATAAAAATTAGGAATACAGTTATGAATCTATTCGAAATAGGGAAACACTTTCCCGTTTTAGAGCAGTATTTATAAAAGTGTTTCTATACCTTTAAACTGTATCTATATTATGCATCACCTGATTATCATACTTTTGTGTGAGAAGATCAACTACTTTGACAAACCTATTTCAATCCATTGCATAGACATCGACTAAAATACTGCCATTGGAAGTTCTGCTATTGGCTTATCCAAACAAATAAAAAAATATCCGGATGATTTAGCGGGGATGAGGACATACAAAATCCTCCAATGAAATAGTAATATATGGGACTAACTCGGACGGGTCTAACTTTGAGGGCGATTGTAAATCATTTCAGTGGAAGCGTAGAGGCGGTAGTCCGTTTTGTATACGGGCTTTAAACTGCATTAATACTTACAGAGTCGATACTTTAATACGCTATTCATCTTTATTCGCCATATTAATCCAACATTTTATGCAAAAGCAAGAAGTACCACACGATTTGTTACAAGCGTGTCTGCAAACCATGCTGGGTCATTTGACCCATTATTAGGGTGTTAATAGATAGCAAATTGCCATTACCGTGGGCGTTTGGGCATAATGTAGAGGGAGAAATGCCCAAAGAAAGGCTAAAAGGTTTCTTAACATGTAAGTTTATAGCTGGTCCTGATCAACACCAGACGATATGTCTGATGAATAGAAGGACAGTATTCAGGTTGGTATTATCATGGACTAGTGCAAACTAAATAGTTAGTGATCCTCATCAGAGTACGAAGAGATCATGCCTTATCCAGGGGCAGCTTAACAAAACAGATAGTGGAAAGTTTTCTTCAACAGAATGGTCGGATATCATAATGATTACTACGAAGTCAGGTAAAATCGATCACGATCTTAGAAAAGAATGTATTTGAGTGCTGGTCAATATGGCATCGCAAAAAAGGGCCAAATGTAGTCTGTTCGCCAAGCTTCGCCTCTCCACTGTTCCTACTGCTACTACTACTATAGTAGTTAGAGTTTCGAAGAACGCTTTTTGTGAATAGAATATGATAAACATTTACATGTTTGAGAAATGTAGACTGGCTTATATTATTACTAGTAGAAGCGTCTGATAACTGCACATTGAGAATGCATACACTTTCCTAGATATGAATCTCGATTCCGCGTTATTTTCCAACATGTTAATAAACTTTCTGGAGACGATCTAT